TGCATTGAATATTATAATTCATGAAAACACTTACCTGTACATGCATTTCTAAAGTATCTGTGTATTGACTATTATCGAGAAAAATGTAAGAAAATACTTCAAATCTCAAGAATGATGGCATGTATTTTCATTGGATATTTTACAATAATTCATGAAGCTAACAAGGCTATTGATATAAGTCAAGCCAGATTACCTGAGTGAGAACCTGAAGGTGTTTTGAATGGTGTACAGGTAAAATCGCACTTGCTTTGCATGCTTTTTCCCCAACTTCAGTCAGCCTTGTTGGCTTTACGGCTTTATGCTCAGTTGTGATTTATTCAGTGGAAATATATGCTATTATTCTGGAGATTTGACACATTTTCTTACATTTTTCTCGATAATAGTCAATAAATGGATACTTCAGCAATGTATGTTCAGGTAAGTTTTTTCATTAATTCCATTATTCATTCTGCATTCAAATGTTACTTTTCAGACAAAGTCAACAATATTTTCAACAAATAATTTCAGCAAAGGTCATTATTGACATTTTTCCTGACATGGGTATACCAACCAACTTCCACATTTTTATCATTTTGAGGAAAAGTTATGAGCCAATCTCCTACTGTATACACTGACATGAGCCTGTATGAAATACCTTAAATGTATCTGCATTAAGGACATTCCAATATGGCTGCCACACCAAACTGTATATCAAATTCAATAATGCATTCTGTTAGCATTAAACAATACCTGTCACAAAATAATATTCCTCCAATATTTCTCAAACATAATTGAGGTACATGCACACTAAATTTCAGAAAAAACATTCAATAACTGATGAAAAAAATAACTTTTTATGTGTCCATTTTCCAAGCTAAATAAAAGTCACAATTCAGTAAAAAAAAACACATTTAAACTTGTAAATATCATAAGGTTGGATGTCCATGTAGATGCATTTGTCGAGAAAATTGCAAGAAAATGTGTCAAATCTCCAGTAAATCACAACTGAGCACAAAGTGAACAAGGCTGACTAAGGTTGGAAAAAAGCATGCAAAGCAAGTGAGATTTTACCTGTACAGCATTCACTACAGGTTCTCACTCAGGTAATATGGATTGACTTGTATCAAAAGTCTTGTAAGCTTGATGAATTATTGTAAAATATCCAATCAAAATACATGTCATCATTCTCGAGATTTAAAGCATTTTCTCACATTTTTCTCGACAAATGCATCTCCATGGACATCCAACCTTATGATATTTACAAGTTTAAATGTCGTTTTTTTCCTGAATTGTGACTTATTTAGCTTGGAAAATGAACATATAAAAAATGAGTTTTTCATCAGTTATTGAATTATTTTTTTTTTCTGAAATTTAGTGTGCAAGTACCTCAATTATGTTTGAGAAATATTGGAGGAGGATTATTTTGTGACAGGGATTGTTTAATGCTAACGGAATGCATTATTGAATTTGATATACTTTGGTGTGGCAGCCATATTGGAATGTCCTTAAAATATTGTCTGTTAGTATAACGTAAATGGAAATAATAAGGTAACCACGAAAGTTATGTGTTGGTTAAGTAATTGCAGAAGGAGATAATCTAGAATAATCCCGTAAATAAGGTGTTGAGTTAGTATACCATAGATAGAGATAATCTAGAATAAACCTGTAAGTAAGGTGTAGGGTTAGTATACCATGGATAGCGATAATATAGAATAACCCTATAAGTAAGGTGTATGGTTAGTACGCCATAGATGGCGATAATCAAAAACAATCCTGTAGGTAAGGTGTAGGGTTAGCTACCATAGATGGCGATAATCTAGAATAACCCTGTAAGTAAGGTGTATGGTTAGTATACCATAGATGGCGATAGTCTAGAACAATCCTGTAGGTAAGGTGTAGGGTTAGCTACCATAGATGACGATAATCTAGAATAACCCTGTAGGTAATGTGTTGGTTTTGTATACCACAGATGGAGATAATGTAGAGTAACCCCGTTAGTAAGTTGAACATATAATTATTAAGATATTTAATATTAATGGTAAAATTGTTCGCGAAAATAATCATATTGAAAGATATATATTATTAACGAGTAAGAAAGAGATAAAATATTAGATTGAAGCATACAGAAATAAGTAAAAATATTTACTTTACATAGATATACATACAGCTATGCATTGAAATCCAGCTCATAATAATAATTGATAATGTTCTAATTTCAAACATGGAAGTTTCTGAACAGAGATAGTTTTCATATTAATATCTCATGTTGTAATCCGTCTTTTACAAGAACACTTTATAAAGAACTGTTTGACATCCCAAAACACCTCATAACGCCATGCTGTCCATGTTTGAGTAAGCAGTTATCAGTGATTTATTTAACTAGGTGAGGATTGAACTATAAGAAATTATCAGTGATCTATTTGACTAGGTGAGGGTTGAACTGTAAGCAGTTATCAGTGATTTATTTGCCTAGGTGAGGGTTGAACTGTAAGAAGTTATCTTTGATTTATTTGACTAGGTGAGGATTGAACTGTAAAAAGCTATCAGTAATTTATTTGACTAGGTGAGGATTGAACTGTAAGAAGCTATCAGTAATTTATTTGACTAGGTGAGGGTTGAACTGTAAGCAGTTATCAGTGATTTATTTGACTAGGTGAGGATTGAACTGTAAGAAGCTATCAGTGATTTATTTGACTAGGTGAGGATTGAACTGTAAGAAGTTATCAGTGATTTATTTGACTAGGTGAGGGTTGAACTGTAAGAAGTTATCAGTGATTTATTTGACTAGGTGAGGGTTGAACTGTAAGAAGTTATCAGTGATTTATTTGACTAGGTGAGGGTTGAACTGTAAGAAGTTATCAGTGATTTATTTTACTAGGTGAGGGTTGAACTGTACAAGGAGGGGGAACTAGTGGCACACATTGTGTTCAACGGCAAAGGCTCCACATCCACGAGCTGGTTCAGTCAGGATCAAGTCCTGTCCTCCAACTGGTTCGACCTTAAGGAGACCAACACAGAAAAGGGCAAACACTTCTCATTCCTTGGATATAGGTGAGGCACGTAGACTTGGGACACAGATAATACAACTGAAATACAGTCCACCTTACAGCTCTACCGGCAACAAGATATCCACTTGTCCCTTCCTTATACATTTTAGACAAGAGGCAGACATTCTCTGATATTGGAAGTACACGGTATTGGAGTGTTACATATATGCCAGCATATGCATACAAATGAATAGTTTTCAGTGATGAGTATGTCTTATTATATACTAGTATTTCGTAAGTGTGGCAGCGCCCTTCTAAAAAGAACTGTTAAAAGCAAATAGTCTTTTAATGACACAAACACTTTTTGAAGCCAAATCAAATGAAGAATAGCGAAAAGGATTTGAACAAATGTATGTTATCAGGTTTGTACCAACTGAGAGGTAAAGGACGCAAAGACGATGATTGTTTCTTCTAAAAAACTGGGTTTTTTCAGTTGATTTTAACTTGATAACAAAATATGCTCAAACTACATGTAATATCACATTGCACTGTTAAAAGTAAATAGGGAAATATCCATTAAACAACGATACATTTCTTAGAATGTCGGTCTATCCACCTTCAGTAGTAGGACTTACAAGCTTGCATTCCTTTTTCATAGCAACAACAACATCAACCGTCGCCTGTATATCAACAAGCTCTGGGCAGGAGGTTGCAGACTTCACAAGGGTTGGATGGTAGTTGTAGAGGGTGTTACCCGCGGTCAGGGCTGTGGCTACGAGACTTACCGCTCGTACCCAGTCTTCCTGTACATCCCACACACATATGCGGACTACTTCGACGACTGTAAGTCTGTTTAATTATTTATTATTATCTATATTACAGTTTTGCCGTTGTAAAAATGATTTTTTGGTTGAACACGTTTTCAATCAAAATTGGTTTTAAACAAAATATTGGTAAGAATGTCTTTTAACTCATGATCATTCAGCCCTGAAGACACATTTGAACTCTTCCAGTTCAAAGGTTGGAATAGTTCATTATGAAATTTCAGGGGTGAATGAGTTAACAGTAGTTTAGAACAATTAATATTTCCAACGTCTCAGCCTCTATCATCACCGATGAGTCCTAGAAGGACGAAACAGCTGTATGGTGCAGTGTAATTCATTTTTAGCATACTGTATCTATAACACTCTATCACAAAATTTTAAATGTGCTATCACCAGTGTGTGTGTATTATTTTCATCATAGCAAATTATCACTTGGAAAAATAAAAAATATGAAAAAGCAATGGTTTACAATCACAGCCCTTTTTAAGCCAATGCTTAGGATCGTAAATCAAAGTTGAGGGTTTTTTCATGAGCACGATGTCCACACTTTGACCAAATGCAAAGGGCTACAATAGGTTAATCATTTCTCAGTGTCAAAAGAATATTAGATTAATGAGATCGCATTATAACGGAAGAAAGAAATATTGAACCTTCACATTACAATATCTTCAATTAATTATGCTCTCTCCTGGTCAGTATATCGATACAAAAACTAGAATTCATTATATACTTCAGTGGGTGCAAAAAATCAGGGAAATAAAGCATCTTGTCTTCTATTTTCCAGTCAAAAGTGAGGCAGATGTATTCGCCATTTCTGTGATAGCCAAACGTGTGAATGCTGTATAGTCATGCCAACAGTGCGCTGAAAACCAGGACATTTTACTTTAAAGTTGTAGTAGGAAACAGATCAACTGTGAATAACGAATACCGCAGAAAAGTAGGAATATTTCAATCATTTTTGTTCACCTGGATGATCGTAAACACTGAGGAACAAATTTGGTAAAGTATTAGACAAATGTATAAAATTTTGTCCAGTTAATTACATACCAATACAATGTACTCTCCTGTACTCTGATTGGTTGAGACATTTACAAAAGAGGAGCACATTCAGCAAAAAATCCTAAATTGCCAAATATCTGCCTCGTCCAGTTGTCATGTACAAACATACAGACTTTTTGATAGGATACTGAGGGCTATCAATATAAGGTCTAGTTTATTTTTACTTAAATAGATACTATGAACACTTCACATCCTCACATTGGCTATTCAAGAATACAAAGACTTTGAATATAGTATGGTATATTTGTCCTTGTATGCTGCACGTGGAATTCTCTTGAAAGGAAGTACAAATCAGACAAGCAGTTTTCTTGTTTCTCAATTGGTTTATTATTTACACCTAATTTCACACCAACAAAATTGTATAGTTTGTTTTATAATACTTTGGGGAATATCAATCAGCAAATCAAGTGATAAAGTCAATAAAATCATCCTTGGACAGACCGATTTCACCAATGGAACAGTTAAGCAGATCTTGTTAAATTACCAACCAAGCAGCACGTATATTTCTTTATCTGTTTACGTCTAGCAATATCTTTCCTGAGAAGCAAGGAACAGATTTGTACATGTTTAACATGTTTTCTAATTCGGGAATGGAAAAATAAGTAAGTACATGTACTTGACATCCTAATGCAGACTTAAGTTAGCACAAAGTCGAAGGACAAACGATTTACGTTTAGAATATTTGGGTCTTGTGTGTAAAATTTGAAAAATATGTTTTTAATCCATTGTCACCTCTAACAAAAACACTTGCTTGTATATACACGTACTGTACCTGGTGTGTCCTTAATGCAGTGTTTATCAATAAATATTACTGAATATGGATAAGTAGTCGGGACATTCAATAGATTTCTTTGTGGATGACAACAAATTATTTCTAGGGTAAGTTATCTGTTTAACTCATTCACCCCTGAAATTTCGTAATAAACTACATGTATATATATATTCCAACTATTGATTTGGAAGAGTTCAAATGTGTCTTCAGGGGTGAATGAGTTAACATAACTTTGATCAGATGACTGATTGAATACTCACACCATATAATGCCACCGCAACTTGATTGTCAAATGCATAGATTATGATAATAAAGCAGTTCTTAGTCAACATAAAATGAGCAAACAGAAATTATCTTTATCACTCAGATGCAGGGCTCGGTTTAAAATGATAAAAAAATATGATAACTCTGTAAATAATATCATGGTACCAGTATTCCGTATACATGTACAAAACTTAACATTGTGGTGGGCTAGGATAAAGCAAAGAACGGAGTGACTAGCTTTCTGTACAGAGAATGTCTAAGACAAGACGGAAAAGCTGTATACCAAACCTTTGTTCCAGGGGTATAGCAAGCATCCAAAAGAAGGAAACAATGTCATCAAACTGCTCAGCTTTGACAAGACTCTCCATGAGCGGCACCGTATCATTAATAAAACTGAGGAACTAACAAAACTCCAGATGATTGGTACCAGGTTGTCAAACTAGACCTAGGCTAGTGGTTAGAGACTGTTGAACAGATTAATATATGACACTGTGTATGTGTACAAAGTTTCATCGCAATGTAGTCATTCAGGAGGTTTTTTGAAGCAAAATTTTCAGCCGATAATAATTTATTGCAGCATAATTGAATAGCATTTTATTTTACTGGCATGATGTAATGTGAAAACTAGAATACCTGGATGATGTTGCAACCTTGGGAAGATCGTATTTTTCATAAAACCAGTAGAAGAAAATAAAAAACACAACCCTGAAAAAAATACACAGAAATTAATGAAATTACTATGTGCTATATCCACTGTCTAGCAAGTTACTTCCCCTTGAGGAGAGTGAGTGGTCTTCCCCTTCACTATACACACTACGATGAGGGGCAAACATTCCTGACTCCCGTGACGACACAGACCCATTATCACACTCCATTGTCCGTGTCATGTTCGGTTGCACTATGACGTCTCCCCCAACAGAATGTGTTGTCGGTGGAGACACGTTTCTTGGCTGGTGTTTTTCCTGACTAGAACCAGCTGCTAACATATCAGATCCATGATCTTTCATTTCACAGTATGTGGGAACACTTGTCATTTTACACAGTGGAGTTTTACTAACATTTGTAACTATAGTGGGATCTGATCCAGTTCTCTCCCTTGTTGGAGACTCCTCCGTGGAAACTTTCAGGTCTGGTGATTCTGTTAAAAAGGAAAAGCATTATTTTACTTTTTTGCAAGCATCAGTATTTGATTTACCATATGATATAATAGGCACCATTAAATCTTGATGTTACAAACTAAATTTGTAGGAAACAAAGAATATTGATGAATTGTAAATTGCCAAATTTCGTAAAGTTTCCATTTTGCTATACCTACAGTGTGGTAAAATATGCAAAGAAATAATACTATTAATGTGTTGCCCTTGTGTATAGGATTAGTTTGGACTATTAATTGTGTTGCACAAAAAACACTTCAAATTTGTAAGAAAACGGCCCAAGTTTAATCCTACAAATTAAATGCTATAGTTTTTCAAAAGTGATTTTATAAATCAAACACATTCTTAAATAACTCTTCCCAAATTATTCTTACACATATTCAAGTGTAAACTTGTGCAAGAAATATTGAAGAAAAAATGCCAAAAAAAATGAGTTTTCGTCAATTTTATTAGTTTCTGGTTTTTTGGTGTGTGGCATTGTTCGGGACAATAACAACAATAGACTAAAAATTGTTGGCTAACAATTTGATGAGCTTTTCACTATTAGGACTGATTTGGCCTTATAGCTAAACATCCTAGCAGCTTGCATATTAAATATCAAGACTCTAGACCTTAAACAACCCCAGAACAAGCTTTTCAAAGTTTATTACTCAAAAAAGTCCATTTGAATTTTGACCCCTACTGAAAACCGGTAGTTACCTTTGATGGTCATTCTTGTGCATGCACTTGGTAGCCCATCCCCCCAGCATACTATAGAACAAAAATCAATACCCTGGGCATTTCCGTTATTGAGAAGGAGTATTTTGAAGATTTTAACATAATTGACCCCAGTGACCTTGAACATGGGTCAAAGTCATTCATATTATCAAACTTGATAGTCCATTGCTTGAGCATGTTATTCACCAAATATCATGACCTTGGGTCACTTGGTTATTGAGAAGTGTTTTTAAGTTTGTTTCACAAAATTACACATTCAAACTTTGACCCCTTACCAGAAACAAAACAAAACATATCAAAAGATGCATTAAAAAAATAAAAATTGAGACCTTTGACCCACCAGCGAGCTTTTTTGTTGGACATTTTTTGTATTAACATGTCATAGGAAAAAGTTAGATATGAAAATTATCTGCAAATAATATAATTGCACGAATTCTGTACAATCAACAGTTTTTCAAGTTATAGCAGTTTAAAAAAATTTGACCTATGACATCATGGTGGCCATATTAGATTTTTGACCTACTTGAAAATGTTCCTGGAACATCTTCAGACCTTGGCCTACAACATACCTAAAAGACTATATACCTTTCTTTTACCAAGCAAATGATAGTGACTTCACAAAGTACAGAAAAAGAATAAGAAACATAACAAAACCAATAGGTCTTTTCACCAGTTAGTTAAAAGCCCTTAAAAAAAAAAAAAAAGCATTGCTAATTAACTCTACAAATATTCTATTTATCGCAAAATATATAAAACACGTTACACAAAGTATTTTTTATTGAAATTGTTTGGACAAAAGTGATTATCTACAAGCTAAAAGCAAAAAGGACACAAAGATTCATACATTAAGAGTGGGAAATTGAACAAAATATACACAATGGCTTTATAATTAATTCATTTTACATTTATTTTACAATCACTTTGATCCTGGTGAGAATTGTCTTCCTTGAAAAAAAATTTTTGCAGAAGGATGCAATTTACACAATGACAGTTATCTCTTTTTACATTTATCAAAAATGATGGAAATAAATTAAAATTATAACAAAATTGTCAATTTATTGCCTTTTTAAGAAACCAAATTACTCTCAGTCATGAACACTTTAGACATCATTTCACGGTCCCCTTGGGCACGGTTTATTTACATGTCAGGAACATATGTGACCAGAGGCTATCGCATGGTATGCTGTTTTCACGTGCACCCACACATGCATTTTCATAGGGATCTTGATATTTTGCAAAACATTATTTTTATCAGAGTAATTATAAGTGCTCTGCATTTGTAAAAACGATTTAATTGACAGACTGAAACTGGCTGGACAGCGAAAATCATAATGACCTTGAGTGTGTGAACTTGTTTAATCATGTCATATGCACATGTGAGATCAATACACAAATCACATCAGTCTGCATTCCATGCGTTTCATATATGACCTTCTTGAAGCCGTCTGGTCTCATGTCAGTGTCTTCCCATATGCCATTTACTTTGTATTGGAAGTTTTTTTTCCTTAAGTACGTGTGATTACACATTTCCTAGTAAATTCAAGATATCAGGTGTTGACATATCATCGTCACGCACGTGTACTATTGCTTACCAGTTGTTTCTATAATTTACACAATGGTATTGAAAATGCATGATACACAATACGGAAATGACGACACGGTGTACATGCACATTTCAATGGGGATAACTGAGTCCGAGCTGTACTTTTTCCGGAAGTACATCATGAAAATGGACACTGATGACGATATGTGGAGCCACCTTAAACTATATACTGTATAGGAAATTTTCACTTTGGTTAAACTTTTGCCTTTTACCCATACCCCATGAGAGTGAGTTCACCTTGACAGCGAATTCAAGTGCACAACATGCAATATATACAATTACATATAAAGGGCAAAATAAGGGCGAACATGGATTTTATTGGAAGATGGCCAATATTTGACTGGGCGAAAGTCTCCTGGTATACAGTATATATACAGATGTATTTGACAAAATTTGGATAAAGGAACATTCAATTTCATCATCAAATGTCAGTGTTACAACTGATTCACAACTTTGTAAACAAGAGTACCGCCGAATGCCATATAGTGTTATATACTTTCTTACATTGAAAATAGATCTGCATCATTATAAGAGTGGTTAGCTGACATGCTATAAAAAATGTAGAAGAAAATCACAGGACAAAAAATGTAGGAGGAGATAGCCAGACAAAAATTCAAATACTGAAATAAACAAAGGGCAATAACTTTTGCAAAAATTGTTGAATCAAAATTCTTTTCAAGGAAACACAACAACATATCATGATTATTTAGCCTACTATGTTTTAAAGAAATCTGTCAAAAAATGTAGGAGGAGATTGCCGGACAAAAATCAAATACTAAAATGAACAAAGGGCAATAACTTTTGGAAAAATTGTTGGTTTTTTTTACAAATATTTTATTCCCCCAGCATTTTTTTTCATAAATATATATATACATATACTTCTACGGAGCATATATATATACATACATAAATATTTTGATAGGGGATGCCAGGGTTGGGGAGCCCTGGAGTCTGCCCCTGAACAATATGGTGTCCTCACGGAGGAGGGTTCTCATTCAACATCCATCAGTCAAACAATAAATAAATACATAGGAAGGGCAATGGGAAAATAAAATATTTGCAAATAGAGTACATGACAAAAACACAAAACATACTTCTTTCACACCCTAACAAATTTCATATACAACATAATATTACAAACAAGCATAAACATATAGCACGTCTAGTATACACAAAAAACAATACACATACAAATACATCCACATATATACTCATACACACATACATATAAACATGAGACAGACAGACAGACAAAACAGACAGACACACAGACAGACAGACACACACACAGACAGTACATACATACATGTATACATTGAGACAGACAGACAGACACACACACTATCTATCTATCTATCTATCTATATATTCTGCATCACCCTCTTTCGAGTATTATGTGCAGTGTGCGCGTCTGTGCACACACAGATAGACAGTACATACATACATGTATACATTGAGACAGACTTACATACATTGAATCAGATGCATCATTATGCACGCATAATTTCAAGCAGTTAAGAAACAATAATAAATACACTGTGCAAAACAGTGTCAGATGTACATATATATATATACACATGTGTATGAATATTTCTATGACACATGCATGTGGTCATTCAGATTGATATGAATATATATTGACATCAATTTTCAAATAGCATTTTAAAACTGGTTTTCATACAGGTTTTTATGTCTGCTAAAAAGGTAATTATAAAACAAAACAAACAAAAAACAGCACATACATCCACTCACACCATAACATACCGGATATATGCAGTTTTATTTTTATCAGATTAAAAAATCAAGATGAAATTTAAATATTCATTTCAAGAGAAAGAGTATCAAATATATAAATAAAGATACAAAGATGTATGGGTTGTGTAAACTTGTTTTTTCAATCTGTTAAAAAATATCTTTCCATTCAAACCATATTTGATTAAATTTTTCGTTGCGTAAATTTTTTGAGTCTGAATTTTTTTCGATGTTATATCAGAATGCTAGAAACTCAATCAAACCATCTAACCCGAGCCTTTGTTTTTTTCTTGATACAGTGTATATATAATATTTTGCATAAAGGATAATAAAGTTAATTGGTAAGGCAACATTTTCTGTCTCCAAATAATACTGTTTCTAATCTAAAATCAATTAATTTATCTAAGTTGAGGTATATTTTGTTTTTCAAATCTTGCCAAAGTCTGAAAGAATGAGGACATTCCCAGAAAATATGTTCTATAGTTTCAATTTTTGTGTTACACATATTACAAAGGTTATTGTTCAAAACACCAATAGTTTTCAAGTAATTATTTAGTGGTAGAATGCAATTTTGTAACCGATACTGGAACCACTGTAGTGTTGTATCCGTTGTACTTTTAAAAGGAATGCTATACAATCGTTTCCAGTCCATGTTTCTAAAACTTTCTTTTGATTTCCATTTTATTTCAGCTGTATTTGCACATTTATTTTTATTATTCAGGGTAACATACATGTCTTTACAACCTTTCTTGCTTTTCATAATTACATTGATATGGTGTTGTATAAATGGTCTTTCAACAATGTTTTCAGCAGTTAAATTAAAGTGAAATTGTCTATATCTTTGCTTAATTGATTAGCATATACTTTGATAAATTAAGAAATTTTCTGAATCGATATTGAATTTTAGTTTAAAGTTTGCAAAGGTTAGAAAAGAATTATCTTGGTCCAGTAGGTCACACACATTTTTAACACCCTTCTCAAACCATTTTTTAATGAAAAAAGTCCTGGCATCAATGCAGAAAATTGGGTTATACCATATAGGAAAAGTAAGAAACTGCTCAATATTTTTAATTTGCATTTGTGTTTCTTCTGAAATATCTACCCATGCCTGAAAAACATTTTTCCAGAAGGCATTTTTGGTCTTAATTTTTTTAATGAAGTCAGTACCAAAATCTGATATGTTGATGGTGGGAAAATGTTCTGCTTCAAAAATATTTATCCAACATTTATCATTATTCTTAAGTAATCTTCTTATCCATGTAGACTTAAGGCTTGTTATAAAATTCCTGATATTAATCATTTTCAGACCCCCATTTTCATAGCTTTGGACTATAGTGTCTCTTTTAATTTTGTCAATTGGTGATTGCCAAATAAAATTGAAAAAAGTAGTGTTCAACTGTTGAATAAAATTATTGTCGGGTGTAGGAACAGATATGAATAGATGATTAAATTTTGGTATAATGATTGATTTTAATACAACTATCCGACCAAGAGGTGTTAAAATTCTGCGTGACCACTGGTTTATACTTTTATTAACATTTTTAAGAACTGTGGTATAATTCAAAGTTACAACCTCATCTAGATTAACTGAAAAATAAACCCCTAGCATATTAAATTTTGTTTCTCCCCATTTCAGTTTCCATCTATGATGGTAAACGTCTGCACTGAATTTCTTGCTGCCAATCCAAATCACCTTGGTTTTATCATTATTTACTTTTAGTCCCGATATTTTACCAAAGCAATCTAAAACATTCAGTGCTTCGTTGAATGAGTTTCTAGATCCATCTAAAATTATTGAGGTATCATCTGCAAACTGTGAGAGCTTATGATCTTTCTGTTGGATTGTAATGCCCTTGATATTTTT